TAGCTTTTGCTAATTTCCATGGTGTGCCCACTATGGCCAATTTGAAGTTAACAACATGACACTGAACATGAAGTTGGGGAGAGATGTACACAATTCCACCTCCAGCACACAGTTGGGGACCAACTGTGTTCCCCAACCACCTTCAATCAAGATGGCATATATATATAGAGAGAGAGAGAGAGTAAAATTTTTGATAATCCCATCTGAAGCACCTAGTTTCCAAGATCACTATAGAGGAGAAGAGAGAAAGAGCTTGGAGAAGGCACCCCCTTTCTTAATTGTCCCTTTCAAAATGACACATCACTTCCATTCCATTCCGGTGATGAGAACCACTCTTACTGCCCCACGTCGAGGCTAACAGGCTAAGTAATGTCATTTAGCTCTGTGCCCGGAGTGAGGAAACAGGCTTGGTGGGTGTAGTGGTTAAACAACAAGCCACCCCTAAAACTTAACAGCTTATAAAACAGACACTGATTTTTGCTCATGAATTTGTGGCTCAGCTGATCCCAGCCGGGCTCGTCCTGTATTTGCAGTCAGCCAGCATCCTCAGCTAGTTCATCAGCTAGCATCTCTGCTTCTGGGCCATGGCTGACTCTTGGGGTAAAGGGGATGGCGGGGCCCATGGGCTCCATGCAGCAAGCCTGCCTAGAATGTCGGTGTGATGGCCCAACGAGCTGCAAGAATAAGTCTCAACCCCCAACTATTTTCTGAATCTCTGTTCACATCATCTCTGCCATTGTCTTGCTACCAAAACAAGTCACATGGCTAAGTCCAGAGTCAGAGTGGGAGGGTGCTGCCGAGGCTGTGGCTGCGGGGAGGTAGGTGCTATTCTGGCTCTGCCGCACAGGCTAGAAGAAATGTGACTCACTGACTTACTAGCCTAATAGTCGGTCCTTCTTAGTGGCACTTCTTTTCCACTGGGCATGCATTTACTTTTCGTTAAAATCTTGTTTGTGTTACACAGTGGAGCTGGCATTTGAAAAATATTAATAACAGTAATAAATACTTGTGTGGCAATTTACGATTTAACCTCTAACCTTACTCTTGCAGAGTAGAGTGAAAGATAGTCTCATGCTGGCCAAGAGATGAAAATACCTTAGGAACCTCCTCTTCCTTCTTTCTACAATTTGACTTCCATGTTTGGGAAGTCCCCCAGCTTACTGTCCAGGAAAGAGAGCAACCCAGTCAGGGCTTGACCTATTCACGGATATCACAGATTCTCATTACCTTCGAGGAAAGTTACTTGTAGATTTCCATCTATCCTCTGGCTCTCCGGGGGCAGGCAGATGGGAAAGGCAGAGTTTCTCAGGACATCTACTGGTTCTGTTTTCAATCTTGTTATAAATATATTTGCTTTTTTTTTTTTTAACAATTCTCTATATCAGACAGCATTATTTTATATATTGATTATAGAAGTAACATATACCAGATGTCTTCTAAATACGGGAAATGGAAGATGCACCACTTGCACATGAGAGACGTATTTTAGGTTTTATGTACTTGGTCTTTAACACTGTGTTCTTGTTCTTATGCTCATGGCTGCATATGCAAGATGGTTTCTGAGAATATCATTGTGTAATTGCATTGTTCTCCAAATATGTTTATTTTGAGGTCTAATTAAAACAATTTTTAGTACATGGTTGATACAATGTACAGTGCATGAAATTTGTTTACCAAGGTAGGATATTTTATTCTCTCAAGCAGCAATTTAAAGAAAGATTTGATTTCTGAGCTGTACTATTCATTATCTTAATTTATCCTCATTGTGGCCTCCAAGGCCATAGTTTTGATCTGTTGGATGTTTGCCTACAGGGTCTTCAGAATCTTTAAGGCAGTGTTTTATAGGCAAAATTACTGAACAAATTAATAGAAATAACTCCAGTGAAGCACTCAAGCTAAAAATGGGACAGCATAAGACCTTTCTAAAAGTCTATACACCTTCACGGTCCCTGTCAAGATTAATTATCTCTTTGGCTTGATTTCTCATATTGTACCTTCTTACCTTCCCCACAAGCAACTGATTCTCTCTCTACCTTTAAATGCTTAGAGAGTTTCCAAATACAGTAGTAATAATAATAAGAGTCCTGAGTGCAAGATGTTGGCTATGTGTTAGACTGTATATTAAATAGTCTCATTTCTATTCATGTTACCACCTAGAGATGTAGGTGCTCTCAAATTCGTTTCTCATATACAAACACTAAGTCCCAGAGAGGTGAAATCATGCACAGAGTCAAGATGTGAACTCAGCTCAGCCTGTCTTCAAACTGATATTTTTCCCCACCCTGGAGATTTTACCCCCTTCTGTGAGGAACAGGTCATCTTCAACTTTCAAATACAAGGTTCACAAACTTGTTCCCTCTATTTAATCACAAACACTTAGTGAAGGAGCTGCTGTTCTTTCTCCTTTAATACATAGAATAGTGTCAGAAGCATTTTGACTGCCTGTTAGAAGGCAAAAGAGCACCTACTTTGGACTCAAAACATATGAGACTACTGTGAGACTTTCTTTTTTTTAAAAGAAGATTTATTTATTTGACAGAGAGAGACACAGCGAGAGAGGGAACACAAGCAGGGGGAGTGGGAGAGGGAGAAGCAGGCTTCCCGCGGAGCAGGGAGCCCGATGCGGGGCTCTATCCCAGGACCCCGGGACCATGACCTGAGCCGAAGGCAGACGCCCAACAACTGAGCCACCCAGGTGCCCCAATTTTTTATTTTCTTATAAAAATTAATGTAAAAGGAGGGGCGCCTGGGTGGCTCAGTCGTTAAGTGTCTGCCTTCAGCTCAGGTCGTGATCCCAGGGTCCTCTGTTCGAGCCCCATATCGGGCTCCCTGCTCAACGGGAAGCCTGCTTCTCCCTCTCTCGCTCCCCCTGCTTGTGTTCCCTCTCTCACTGTGTCTCTCTCTGTCAAATAAATAAATAAAATCTTTAAAAAAATAAAATAAAATAAAAAATCGAAGGGAATAAATTTGTACTGTCCTATAGATATAAGCATGAGTCTAAATGTGATGTTTCTAGCCCTCTGCTTAATTAAGGAAACCGACAGCCAGCCAACATGGGTTGGATTGAATTGAGCTGAAGTGGACCATGTCACTAGCTCTCACTTCAAAGCTAGAGTTACTGGTTCTAATATTCAGATTTAGCTACTGCACATACCGGTCACCTTAATTCTTATCTAATATTTGAAAGTTATTACTTTGGAGAAAGCTAAGCCGTGGTGATTATAGTGTATCAAAATCCATTGTAAGTGATTATTTTAATGACTCTGTACCAACAGGGACATGTAGACATTCAGACAAAAAACAACCTAATTATAATGACAACACCAAAGCGAAGCTGTGGCAGTTACAAAACCAATTTAAAAGTTTTTTGACAGCTGTGGCTAAAAGCTTTGTTTGGATCTTTCAGTAATAACAGTTTACTTAAGACACAAATCCACAGCTAAGGAAAATAGAGAAAGTTGTGGCTTTTCTGTCATGCAGATAAAGTAGAAGTCTGTTGAAATATTTTTAATATAACATTATGTTGAAAAGAGTATAGAAAAGGAATAATAGTTATGGAATGTAACTCTCACAATTCAAGAGAGACCAAATAACAATACAAATTCTAATGAGAGTAGAAATGTGCCGGCTGATTTGCTTATCTGTCTTATGAAGGTCAGTTTCTGCAAGCAAATTCGTGTGCCTTTAAATATGTTGATTGGCAATCCTGGGATTTGATTTTGTATTACCTATAAAGTCAAAGGCACATGGATGTAATGCTTCCATACACAGACCCTTACTAAATACCTGCTTTTCCAATAGCTCCGACATCTCTCAAATTACTAGATCTTATCACCTTTATTTATCTCCCTTGGTCCTGGACTCCGTCAAATAACACCGCATAATTAATTCTTTGACCTTGGGCAATTAATCTCCCATTCCTGGACAGAAAAAAAATTCCTGGATTCACAGAATTGCACTTATTTTTTACTGCAAATCTTTGTAGAACACTTATAATATGCAAGCACTGCTCTAAGCGCTTTACAAATATTGACTCACTTAAAATGGTAACAACTTTGGAGTGGCCACTGTTATTTCTACTTTACTGATGAGGAAACGGAAGCTCAGAAAGGCTTAGCTAACTTGCCCAGGGCTGCAGAACTTGTATGTGGCGGAATCTCCGCTCCATGCAGTTTGGCTCTGAGCCCACGTCCTCAGTGACAAGTGCAGGGTATGGAAGACCGTGTGAAGTCACATGCATGAATGCATGAGATAGCAGCCCAGACGAGGCAGCCCTGTTTTTCTTTTCCCATACCCAGGTTCTACTTTAGTCAGGTGCTTTTAGTTGCCAAAATTGAAGAATTCTCAGGTCAGATCAAATGGAAGGATCTGTGCCCCTATGTGCCAAGAAGAAACAAGGCCTCCATGCGTGGTGGCGCTAGTCTCTGGGCAGTTGGTGCCAAGGGATGTGATTTAGTGGTTTGTTGTTATGCACTCAGGTCCTGTCCATAGGCCAGCTTCTCTCTCCTTTTTTTGCTGCCCGAGGCCTTCAGCCTGTACTCTCTCCTTTTATATACTGTCTACCCACCATGGAGGGACTTCAACAGACTTGGGTATGGAGCCTGCTTCTACTGTGTACTTGCTGTGTGATCTTGGACAAATGACTTAATCTCTCCGAACTCACTGGAAAAACTGAGGAATATATCCTGCTGTGTAGGGCTACAGTGGAGATGAAAAGAGATAAAGTAAATAACATACTTATAGAATGGCCTGGAACATTGTAAGCATTGAATACATGCTAGCCATCATAATAACAGTCATTATTTTTGAATGCCTAATTATTTCACCTCAGTGGAGGCAGTAGACTTGGGTCCAAATTATGGGTCCACCTGCAATACTTGTGTGACAGTGGGAAAGTTATTTAACTCTGCTGAGCCTCCATTTTCCTCTCTATAAAATTGGGGTAACTTCCTAGAGCGGTTTCTGTCTTTGTTGAGAGTGTATCTGTTTTGCCTCCTCAGCAAATGATGCGGTCGTCAGTGTTCCACATGTTCATTCTGAGCATGGTGACTGTGGATGTGATAGTAGCCGCGAGCAACTACCACAAAGGAGAGAGCTTCAGACGGCAGTATGACGAGTTCTACCTCGCAGAGGTAAGCAGCCCCCTCGGAGGCAGATCAGTGTTCAAGGTAAAGGCGAACCCCAGGTGGTGCCTTTTAGAAATATGAAAATTAACATCAGTTCCTTAATTACTTGACTTTGACCAAAGCTGATTCATTGTCTGCTTCTTAAATGTTTCTTTGGTCACTGTGTTGGCTGGCTCATTTTCTGTCGCCCTCAGGCTGAGTGACTTCCCCACCGTGTCACATTGCCAAGGTAACTCCTTTGCCCCCGCTATTACTCTTTTGAGCTTGCTATTTTCCTATCCACCTCTCATTTTCTCTCCCTTTCTCACGTTGTGTTAGTCTGTTTCCTACTAAGTGTAAGCGAGCACAGAATCAGAAGATTGTAAGTAGGCAAGTCAGCTCAACAAGACCAAAGAGAGGGCAGGAGGGAAATTGGAAAAGATAATACAATAATTTCTGTGCTAGAAACAGAGGTGTTACCACCTGCACTGAAGATACCAAGTCAGGAGCAGGTACGTTTAGTGATTAAATAAGCATCTTCTAGCACCCTACATACCATACTAGAGTTTTGGAATAGTACTTCTTATTGACTGAGTTAACTTTGTTAATAGTTGATTCTTAAATATTTTAATGACATCCAGAGACCACTTTCTTATTGTGAAAAATTATTTCTAAAATACATCTCAGAATTCAGTGATTACATATTTATGGAAAATTGATTGACATATAACTCTTTAGAAACCCATTTATCTTTTAAATGAGGTATGCATATACAGCTGAACTACACTTTAAGAAATCCAATATATGAAAAAGTAAACTTAAAAAAACAAAAATAGTAATTTGACTATTTTTATTATAAAAGCATTTTCCATGTAAAAAAATCAATTTGCCATATAGTTGAATTCTCTAAGATATCCAGAATTCCTCCAGTACATTTAAAAATGGATTTGGTTAATAAAAATTCAATCCACCCGCACATAAACTTTTCAGAAAAAGAACTGATGGCATATACCTATTGAATGTTAGCATCTATGTGGGTATCAAGAAGCTTTTAAGGAGTCACTTATGAATTCCCCTCTTCATGGAGGTTTGTTGCCTGTAACAAAATATCATTTATATTAAACTTCTACTGTGATGTTATGCTCCCTAATTGCTATGTGGTATATGGAGCTTATGGTTTAAGCAAGAAATATAGACAGTAAACAATAAGTGTTTTATGCTGTGGAGTACCAATGACAGGAGCTCATGAAGACATTATATCGAGCCTGACACTTGAAAAATGGGTATAATTTTGCTGCAGATCCAGCACACAAAGATTGGGTTGTCATTAAAAGCACAGGAAAACATGGACCAATAGTAATTTTTGCAGGTGAATTTCTAAAGCAAGGATCGACCATTGAAGGAATCCCAGTCAAGTGATTGCTGTCTGAAGTAGAAAGCAAGGTCTGTATCCAGCCTGATAACAAGACTGTAAAATGGGAAGGTGTGGACACTGTGAAGAATGCAGAAAAAAAGCAAATTAAAGACACATCAATTCCAATCCTGAAGACCCAGCTGAATTTTGAGGCTACAAATTCATAATGATACCAATTTAGACAGGTCTGTGCCTTTTTTAGGCCTTGCATAAAGGGAAGAAAGGCAACACTTAGACTGAGCCAGCTCTGGTGATTTTCCAGGCTGGTGGAGCTGAGAGAGGTAGAGAAGGTAAGGTTTTTGGTTTTGGTTTTGGTTTTTTGGGTTTTGTTCATTTGTTTGTTTTGGTGCAAAATGATGGTTTTATTAAAGCACGGGGACAGGACCCATGGGCAGAAAGAGCTGCTGCCCCAGGGTTATGAGGGGTGGCTGATTATATACTATGGGGTTGGGGAGGTAAGGAAAAGGGAGGTTTCAAAAGGATTTTCTTATGTTAAAGAAGACTCCCAGGATACCAAAGACCTTGCCATTGTCAAGTGAAGGTTGTTTTTCCTTCTAGCAAGGCATTAACATTAAGATAGTTGGGAGCTTCCTGGAGGAACATTACACTCTGCCTGCTTCAAGTATCTGTCAATGGGCTGCAGGTTATAAGGAAAGTGGGACCCAGGATTTAGGATTTCAGAATAATTCTGGATAACTAAATATAAAATATGGAGTGTTATATGGATGTGATTGGCTCAAACATAATGATGGAGTCAAGGCAAGATGTCAGGGAGCTATCAGACTAAGATGTTGGCTGAAATCTTCACAGTGGCATTGAAATCATTCAGTGTGAGGCCCGTTCTTGGGGAAGGAGCATAGGCAGGGGCATATCGGAAGGACTGATGGAGAGATTAATAGACAGCAGCCACAAGGAGCGTCAGATGTGACGGTATCTTAACCTGATGGAGTACACCTCAAAGGCGTGTTGAGGAGTAATAGACAGGGCGTCTCTTCCTCATCCGTATGCTATCCTACATGGGCCATGTGGGATCCTGGAGCATGAGCCTCCCCTTCTGGAAAGGGCTGTGGAGGAAGGCATGCATTTGGGACAGAATCAGCTGAGGCAAGGACATAGGAAACAGATTCAGTGAACAGGGATAAGTCAGCAAAGTTTTTCTTAAAGAGCCAGATAATAAACATCATAGGCTTTTTCAGGCCACATGCTCTTTATCTCAGCTACTCAACTCTACCATTGTTGTGCAAAAATGATGTACAAAATGAGTGTGGGCTCAGAATGGTGGTGTTCCAGTAAAACTGTATTTATAAAAATAAGCAATGGGCTCAACGTTGGTTTAAGCTATAGAAACAGAGAGTATGTCAACTAACATCTTTATGTGTTAAATTCAAATATACTAATACTAACAACAATAATAGCTGCCATTTGGGGGAGATTCTATTATGTTGCCAAGTATTTTAAAGGACTTCATTATCCCATTTAATTCTTAAAATAGCTGGAGAAATTCGAGTGTATGGGCTATCATGATTCAGTATTTAAGGCAATAGCATAATATAATATTTTGGAAAGTTTATTTTTAAAATAGATCACAAATGGCCCTGAGCTTTCAAAGAAGTAATTTCTTGAGTTCCCACATATTCCAGGATAACCTCAAAAATCCAAAATAAACTACTCTACCCATTAGAATCAACTTGCAGTCTAAAAAACATCCTTTAAGCATAAATTAAGCTGCTTAGCTTCCGTTGTTTAGCTGGAGACCAGTTTTGCTACTTTGGACTAACTAACCTAAATTTAAAATTAGTTAAGAAACAGGAAAAACTTTTCTTTGTTTTTTTAGGCTATGTATAAATGTAAAAAGGTAAATTTACTTTCTTTTGTAAGAGTTCGCATTTTTAATTCTGATCTAGGATAAAACATTGTTAGTAATAGTATACATAAAATCACATTTTTATAATGAACATAATTATATTTTTAAATGGATATTCTCATTCTCTTAAGTAATAAAACTTAAACAGTACTTTTCTATTGTTATATAAAAATATATAAATATATAGGCGTATCCATTAGACTGTATGTTTAACAGAACCTTATCAGCACAGTGTTATGCACAGAAGATTAACAATTTTAACACAATTCCTCTTTTAAGAAGGTCACAAATTGATGGGAGAGCTAGCACAATGAAGTAAGCAATGAAGAACAGCATTTCTGGTCAGGAGACAGGTTTACCTTGTTTAGAACTCCAGGATGTCTCTTTGGTTTCCTGTTTTTCTATGGCAGCTATGTGTTTGAAGCAGAAAGTCTTTTTTTTTTTTTTTTTT